AGCCATTCATCCATTAGTTCATTCATCTTCTCTTTCACTCATTCTCTTTGCAATTTATCTTCACGATAAATATTTATCAAGTTCGTAAATATTAAACGATTCTATCTTTTGTTGTTACGTAACGTACAAAAAACATCTACTAAATTTAGTTGCAGTTGTAGTAGTAGTGGTAGAAGTAGCAGCAGCAGCAGCAGCAGTAGTAGTAGTAGTAGTAATAGTGGTTGTAGTAGCAGCAGTAGTAGTAGTAATATTAGTAGTGGTAGAAGTAGCAGCATCAGCAGCAGCAGTAGTAGTAGTGGTAAAAGTAGCAGCAGTAGTAGTAGTGGTAGTAGTAGTAGTAGTAGTAGTAGTAGTAGTAGTAGTAGTAGTAATAGTAGTAGTAGTAGTAGTAGTAATAATAGTAGTAGTAGTAGTAGTTGTTGTATAAAAAAAAAGAATAAAATGATTGAAACAACATTACTAACATTTCAAGTCCCATTAAAAAGATGATGTTGTAGTTATGAATATTATTGCTATTGCTTTTGTTGTTGTTGTTGTTGTTGTTGTTTGCAAATGGAAAAATATTTCTTATTAGGACCATAGATCCATTGAGAAATGCAATTACATTATTTTTTCTTAAGATATATTTTATCGATGGTTGTTGTTTTTGATGTTGTTGTTGATGTTTTGATGTTATTTCGTTGTTGATGTTGGGCACGCAACAGCAGCAGCAGCAGCAGCAGTAGTAGTAGTAGTAGTAGCAGTAGTAGCCTCAGATGAGGCAGGACTAGTAGTAGTAATGGTTTTTGATGTTGAGTAGTATTATTACAAGAACAATTGCATTACTGTAACATTGTTGTTGTTGTTGTTGGTGATGATGATGTCCTAAATGACGTCACTGATGTTGTTGTTGTTGGTGTTGAAGATGATGTCATTAAGTGACTAAAGACAACAAAATGAATAATAATAAAAATAATAAATAATATAATTCCCACCGTGTCTACTTAACTAAAAATAAAATAACAATAATAAAATAATTAATAATAGCAACAACAAAATAATAATAATAACTATAAATAATTTTTACAAATCATAAAATCAATAGTAAAATTTTCTAACACCTAGGTCCGCCGGCCAACCGCCTTTAAATAAAATTCAAGCTTACAACTCCATCTATGTATGCTTGCAATATATACATACACGCATATACCTATATCTATATATCTATCTATCCATATATGTATAAATATATATCTAAATAGATATATGTATGTATATTTTTGAACAGCAAGGCACGCAGTAAAAATTTCAATAAATGTATCTGGCGGGCGGAAGTTAGAATGACCTCTGACTGATCAGAGTATCAACAATCACAAACTGATAAGAACGATTAGGAAGTGCCTAGTTGGACAGCTCTTCAAAAAACTGTTGGTTAGTGTAATATGTGAGATGAAGTTAAATAATTCTTTTGGGATGAGCGCCGTTCTAGCTTCAACCGGGCCGTCACAATGTTTTAAAAATGATGCCGACTCATTCGTAGCACATAACAATTTTCATTTTAGAATGCTGAAACGTATTTCGTCGATATTTTATATCGTATAAATGTTGTTAATGTTGTAGTCATTTTTGTATCTTCGGTAATGTGGCTTTTGATGTTGCTGTTGATGTTGCTGTTGATGTTGTTGATGATGTTGTTGATGTTGTTGTTGATGTTGTTGATGATGTTGTTGATGTTGCTGTTGATGTTGTTGATGTTGATGTTGATGTTGTTGTTGATGTTGTTGATGTTGTTGTTGATGTTGATGTTGTTGTTGATGATGTTGTTGTTGGTACAAATAGAATAGCGTGATTGTGAACAAATCTTGTGTGATGAATTTAAATGTCTATGCTTCTTCTAATGTACTGTCTATGTTTTTAAATGTCATTGGGTTTATTAAGATGTCTATGCTCTCTCTACATTATCTACGGTCCTAATTCAATGTCTCTGGCCTATCTTGAATATCTATATGCTCCCCGAATTACGACACTACAAAAATAAAAAAGTGAACATCTCATGCACACACACACACAAATCCACACGTACACACACACGTACACACACACGTACACACACACGTACACACACACGTACACACACACGTACACACACACGTACACACACACAAATCCACACGTACACACACACACACACACGCACACGCACACACGCACAGTCAAACGAAAAATGTTTCAATTAAAGTTAAGGATAAAAAAATGCATCTAATCTTTAAAAAAAAACCCAGATATAAAAGCAAAAGCAAATTCAAATTCCTGAAAAAAACATTCTTGTTTGTCTCTTTTTGGTTTTTTCTAAGGAATCACGTGATGTGAATGGGGAAGTGAATTGATACATAGATACATACAAAGATACATACATTGATACGTACATAGATACATAGGTACGTACATAGATACATGCATAGAGCATACATAAGTAAGGACACACAAACATCACACACACACACGCACGCACGCACATATAAAAAGAAAATAAAATTAATTTTTTTTATTCTGTTATCATAAAGACAAACTAATAAAACAAACAAAATAAGCAAATTCACCAAAGAACAAAAATTAAATGTTCCATAGAAATAAAAACCATTGCTAAGTAAACGTAGCGTAACGTAAATTTCAGACGTCTAAATTCGAACGCACTCCACTAGCAGATAAATGACATCAGTGTGGAAGAAGATAGAAGAGAGGAAGAAAAAAAGAGAGAAAGAAAGAAAGAGAGAAAGAGAAAGAAAGATAGAGAGAGAAAGAGAGAGAGAGAGATGTCCGTGGAAAAATGTGTAACAGTATCGGAGATGAGTTTAAATGGAGCGTAAACATAGAAAAGTAAACCAACGCGAAGCATAGCATAGATAGTGAAATCTATTCGAGCGATATTATGCAATATTAAGCGTTGCTTTAGTTTGGCCGGCTAAATGATTTATTGATTGGTTGGCTGGTTTATTTGGTGGCTGGTTGATTGGCTGTTTGGTGATTTAGTTTATAGCTGATTGGTTGATTGATTGATTGGTTGTTATTTGGCTGGTTGATCGTCGGTTGGTTGGTTGGTTGGTTGAATGATTGGTTGAATGAATGATTGATTGATTAATTAATTGATTGATTGGCTGCTTGATTGATTGGTTGATCGATGATTGATTGGTTGATTGGATAAAACTAGTTATATTAACAATAGTAGTAGAAGTAATAGTGGTTGTAGTAGTTTTAGTAGTAACAGTAATAATAATAATAGTAATGATTTAACTATTTGTTACTATATTTAGAAAATTAAAATTCTGAAAAATTGCCAGGTCAATCTTTTTTTCAATTTTTTACTTTCCAAGTCAAGCGAAATAATGAGGCAAAACATTTTTTTATTCTTCTTTTTTGATGAGATTATCTTGGCCTGTTTTTGTTCTTTTGTAAAAACGGAGACGGAAGTACGTGATGTTGGTCTGGTTAGTGAACGACAGATAGAAAAAGTAGAAAGAAAAGGAATGTAGAGTAAAAATGGCAAAGTTTGATTTGCAAGCGAATGTGTCTGCTTCAATTTGTGTATGTACGTACGTATGTATGTATGTATGTATGTTAAAACCAAAACATGATGAGTGACACTGAACCGTCAAACATCAAGTAACAAATGGATTAACACTTTGATTTGTCGTTAATTGCACGTGTCGGCATTCAGTTGGATATTTTCAAGCACACAGACACGCAGGAACCTCTGCAACAAGCACGAAATGTGGTTAGTTGCGAAAAACAGTTCCCTGCTGTCGCCTGATCTGACGCTGATCATTTTACATATTGCCTTAAGAAATTTAAGGGTGTTGGGGTCCATCGGGCCGAGAACCTTGATACATATTGGCAAGAATTCCATCGAGGGGAGGGCGTTCCCATATATGTATGTATGTATGTATGTATGTACGCATGTTTTTATGTATGTATGTTTGTATGTATTACCAACATCATCCTCCCCGAATAAATACAAAAGCATCATCAGCAGCTGCATGTCAAGAACCGAAAGAAAGCAAGTCTTTGAATTTAATGCGAACATGTCTGAAAAATATACGTACACACACGTGCACACACTCACACTCCACATACATACATACACACACACACATACATTTACATACATACATACGTAGATGAATGCATGCATGCATGCATCAATCGATCACTAATCGATTCTTTCTTCCCTTGGACAGAGACACTCCTCGCCAAGTTAATCGGTTTTATAGTGACAATTCTGTAGAGCCTAATTTTTTAATTGATGCGAATTCTTCTAAATGGTGATTCATTTCAAGACTACGTGATTACTTTGGCGTGTGTGTGTGTATGTGTGTGTGTGTGTGTGTGTGTGTGTGGTGTGTGTGTGTATGTGTGTGTTTGTGGGGTGGGTGTGCGTGTGTGTGAATTAATTTTATATATCTCTTCTTGCTACAATATTTCAATACAGAAAGAATAATAAAACCCTTGTCGTTTTTGATGTTGTTGTTGTTGTTATTATTTATTACTATTTTTTATGTTATTGTTGTTGTTGAGAATGTGTTAAATTGAATTAAAAATGAAGACGAACAAATTAAATTAAAAACAAACTCGATCTCCTAATCAAGTGTGCTTACACGAAAGTTTTACTCATCCATTCATTTGTTCGTTCGTTCGTTCTTTCATTCATTCATCTGTTTGTTGGTACGTTCGTTCGTTCACTCACTCGCTCATTCATTCAGTCATGCATACGCGCATGAATTCATAGAATCTGAAACCTAACCAACGAGCAAATATTCAAACTATTCAAATGTTGAAAAGTTGTGAAGGAGCTGGATCGATTTGAAGCAGGTTGGGAGGACTGGATAATTTGGAAAATGATAAAAATATTAAAACTGTTTAATCACTTGCCAAAAATTAATAAGTATGAATACAATTTAAAAAAGAATTATTTTATTATTGAATTTGAGCATTCGTTCGCTTGGAGCCAGCGGAGAAAATGAAAACTAGAAACCAGCTTGAAGAGAGTTGAAATTTCGAAACTGTTCAATGGCCAGCAGAGAACCAGCATAAAAATATTGAAGTTGGTTCTCGCTGTAATTCTGTAGAATCCGTCCTCCTTTCATTCGTTCATTCATTCGTTCATTCATTCATTCATTCATTCATTTATTCATTCATTCCTTCATTCACTTTTTAATTTATGCAACAGATGAAACAAAAACGCGTTGTCAGGTTCGTAATTGTTTTATTCAACACACATGACAAAGTTTGAAGTCGCAGAAATAAATACTATTCTTTTATTTGTCATTCATTCATTCATTCATTTGTGCATTAATTTGTTTATTCATTCATTTCTTCGGTCATTCGTTCATTCATTTATTCATTTTTCGTTTGTTCATTCATTCATTCGTTTTACATGCACGTACGTATCAATACAATTCAGTAGGTGGAAAACTGTCTGTACAATATCAACCTTCTCATCGCCACCATCATCATCGCCATCATCATCATCACTATCTCCCTCATTATCATCATCGCCATCAATCACAAAACATGACGTCATTCGTCATCATGACGTCATCGGTGAGCAAGTTCAAACTCTGACCTTCGACCTCAAAATTTTTCAGACAGCCAACGTAACTGAGGTAGAACTCTGCCGGCAGACCTTCTGGAGGTCTGCTGTGTAATAATTGCCCACCACCACCTGATTGTAATGTAGGTAATGATGGTGACGACGACGATGATGATGAAAATAAAATCAATCATCATTACGTCATTAATCATCATCATCGTCATCATCATCATCATCATCATCATCATCATCATCATCATTCTCTTCTTTCTCCCCATCATCATCACCATCATCACCTAAATAGATATATCCATCTGTATCTAAATTATTGGCGCCTGGATTGGTCAGCGAATGTTGTGGGTGGTCAGAGTGGTCCACTATTAAGGTCATTAACCTTCTGTTTCTGCCATGGTGATGATAGTGGTGGTGATGGTGGTGATGATGATGATGATAGTGATAGTGATGGTGGTGATGATGATGATGACGATGATGATAGTGAGGGTGATGATGATGATGACGATGATGATAGTGAAGGTGATGATGATGATGATGATGATGGCAATAGTGAGGGTGATGAAAGTGATGGCGATGATGAAGGTGATAAACTAACCTATGCACAAAAACATGGTGCCATTTATGGTCACCATAGACCAGCACATCCGATCTAACCACCATCATGTTATCAACACCCTCCCTACCCAAATCAGCCGCCAAAACCACCCTGCCATCCACGAGGGCAAGAGCCAAGAAGTCGCCATCGGGAAAATTTTTTGATGATTTTTGTAGTAGTATTAAGCCGTCTGGATTCGATGGTTTTATGTAGAAACTGTATGCGTTCGTCGGCTGGCTAAGTTTTCTGGTTGGTTGGTTGATTGGTTGATTGATTGGTTGGTTGATTGGTTGGTTGGTTGGATAATTCATTCATTCATTCGTTTGTTCGTTCGTTCGTTTATTCATTTATTCATTCATTCATTCATTCATTCATTCATTCATTCATTCATTCATTCATTCATTCATTCATTCATTCATTCATTCATTCATTCATTCATTCATTCATTCATTCATTCATTCATTCATTCATTCATTCATTCATTCATTCATTCATTCATTCATTCATTCATTCATTCATTCATTCATTCATTCATTCATTCATTCATTCATCAACATCACAACCTA